CTAGGTTGGTTCCATAGTTTAGCTTTTGTGAATTGTGCTGCTATAAACATTGAGGTAGCTGTGACCCTATAGTATGCTGTTTTTAAGTCCTTTGGGTATAGACCAAGGAAAGAGGAAACTGGGTCAATTGCAGTTTCCTTTTTATTGCCAAGTTCTGAGAAAGGAACTGTGATTTTTTTAAATTAAKCAAACTTTAAGAGTCATAGAAGATTATAAATGCTGAGTTTGAACCGCTTCTGAATTAACCAATATCTCCATTTTAAAAAATCTTTTTAAGATAAAATAATTTTAACAATTTGTGTTATTTAGAAAGCAGACATTTTAAAAACATTTTATTGAACAAAGAATTATTAGCTGTTTCATAAAAGATCTTTTTGTTAAAAAATAATAAATTTCTATAAACATAACATTCATGGGAACAAGATGATCTTCACTTTAGAATTTCTTGATTTATTTGCTTTACAGTGATAAAAGTGATTTTAATTTTTTATCCTAAAGGAAATTTAAAAAGCGGTAATTGTTTTGATTAAATATAATCAAGTACAATAATTACATAAAAAGTGCAAGAATCAAAACAAGATTAAACTTTTCCATTATAAGTAAAAAAATCAATACAAATCAAACAAAATTGATTTTGTTATTTCTATTTAAAAAATTCATATAACAAAATGGAATTAGGTTCTTTGTGGATATGTAATCTAGTAGGACTTATGATTCTAGAAGAATATAAAGATTTATTCTTTAAGGATAGGAAGTCAATATAAACATCAGTCACCTGTCTTAAATTTTAAAATCTACTGAAAAGAAAAAGTTATTCTTCAATGATCTTATCTGTTCCTTATAACATGTCATCGTCAAAGGAAAAGTTCCAAATCATAAGAATGGATTAAAAAACCCCTCAGTGTTATAAGTGTGCTAACAGATCACAACAGGTCAAAATCTAACAGACTTGCTTCTTATGGGAGACATATTTAATCTACTTAATTTCTTTTTAGGATAACCTTTTGTTATGAATAGTGTTTATTACACAATAGATGCTCAACAAAATAAATGATAAAAGAATAAATGAATGAATAAATACTATAGGATGGCATCAAAACAGGTGAATTAAAGTTACTTCCCTGTTCTATTATTCTTGATGTAAATTGAAAAAGTTATCTATTTACAATCAGAAAGTAAACAGTTTAGTTTACTAAACTAATTCAAAACATTCTGATTTACAAATATTTCAGAATATAAATTCACTAACTTTAGACAACTGATCCACTGAAAATCATTAGAAAGACCCCAAAATACAGTGTCTTGTTGAACTCATCATGCAACAGACTTCAAAATAATCATACTAAACATTTGTGCAACCACTGGACTGACCACTTCAATTTTCTGTAAAAACAAATGCACCATTTGCTTTAAGGTGGCCCTAAGATCATCTGGGAAGCTTGCAGGGAGTGGTTTTGGCAATTTTAAGATTATCCACTTAATCACTACATTTTTGCTTTGGCTTTGTTTTAATTAGGCCAGCCTCCATATACCAAAAAAAGCAAAGCTCTGGGCTGGCTGTGCCCTCTCATCAATACTAGGCCTTGATTCCTGCTCCATTCCTATGTTTATCTGACTGTAGCCCTTCTGATTGATCTACCATTTTTCAGCTCCACACTCATTCCTTGGATCTGACAGTGCTATTAGTTATCTTACTCTTTGAAGACAGGCAACTGCAGCTAGCCAGAGTAACTATCCATCAGTTGCAGTCCTCTCCAAAACCCCAAGTCCACAGGGCCAGCCTGGGGCCAGGCATGAGAGAAGCTTTCACAATGGGAAGTAGTATAGATACATATGCTATATTCACATGAGTGTGAGAGGGAAGAATATCCAAATTACCATCCTCCCAGGCAAAAGTTCAGTGAGTGCTTAAAAACATCAGGTGACTGTTTTGATTTATATGATTAAGGAGTATCTCAAAGCAAGCAACACAGAGTTAACTTTTCAACATTCCATGACCCTGATGAAAGGCAGCTGAGGCAGAAAAATGATGTAAAGATCATGAATGTCAGTTCTGGGATTGAAAAAGCATGTAGTTGTTCATACTAACAAGCATGTAATATTTAAGGAACTTAGTGCAAAAATCAGAGCAGAGTAAAACTGAGAAAAATCTCTTAGTAATCTCAGCCAAGTTTTTAAAATAAGCAAAGAAGATAGTTGATCTGATATATATACATGTTTCATCTTGTGTATATATCCTAAGAAATGTCTTATAATTGTTAAACTATTTCACAGTTATCAATTTTATCATTATTACTTGTATTTAAAAAAAAAGAAAGTCTAGAAGGCTGACTATGACATTTTTTGTTCCTCATTTCTGGGAAGTTCCTGTTGTAGCTTCTCAAAGCCAACTGTTCAGAATACTGCCAGTGATCCTCTCCAAAATCACAAGCAGAACTAAAGTCCTAGGATACTACTATGCTACTATGGTAATCATTCCTCCTTTTCTTAAAAAAAAAAAAAAAAAAAAAAAGTACACTGAAACTTGGAGAAGTGACCTAAAGAAAGGACTTTAATATAAAGCAGCTTCATCTTGATTACCATTTAAGGTATTTTGATTCTTTTCTGGGGGTGAGAGGGGGGTAGGTATAGTAGTTCATGCCTACAATCCCTGTGACTTGGGAGGCTGAGACAGGAGAATTGCAAGTGCAAGGCCAGCTTCAGCAATGTAGTGAGGCCCTCAGCAACTTAGTGAGACCCTGTCTTAAAATTAAAAAAATAAAAAGGGCTGGGGATGTAGCTTAGTTGTAAAGCTCCCCTGGGTTCAATCCCTAATACCAAAAAATAAAAATAAAAAATAAAGAAAAAGAGTTTTGTTTACTGTTACTTTTACCTGCCTTATATCATAAAGAGGCCTGATGGCAAGGCAGTTCAGAAACATTACAAAGACTTCAAATCAACTTTAAAAATGTTTCCAATGTTAACAGTTGTTAAGCGTACTCTCCAAAAAGTCCCTGAGGTCCTCACAAAATACCACAAATATATAGATGGTCTGATCTCCAAATTGTGCCTCATATTCTCCTTGATAACTGCATAAGTATTCATTCATTCTTTTTTTTTTGGGGGGGGGTCAGTGCTGGGAATTGAACCCAGTGCCTGGTGCATGCTAAGTGTATGCTTTACCAGTGAGCAACAACTCCAGCTCACAATTAATTCTTCTGTCATATATTCAAAACATGCTAAACAATGAAACATGGTTGTTTAAAAAGGGTGTCACAATAGCACATTTCCAAATGGGGTCAACAAACTTTTCCAGTTTAACATATTTAAGTAATAATTTTTAAAAATTCCATGTGAAAACCATACAGGAAATACTACTACATCAGATTATTAAGAGTTCAGGCTTTTAACCATTTAAAACTAGAAATCCAAACTTTAAGTCTTGGTCATGCTACAAAACCAGCATGTGGTAAACATTCTGCATTAATAAGTTAGAAGAAGCTGAAAGCCAGCTCATATTTAGGGAATCATGTAGATCAAAATTTTCATTGACAATAAAAGCAGAAACTTTTCACTCTATTCTGTTACTAAAGCACAACGAAAGTCAATAATATGCTGACAAAGCAGAAAATTGAACTAAGTAGGTTAATGTTTACTTTAAGAGGCTGAGATCAAATTTAGGATAGAGACAAAGGAATACATAACTTAGCAAGAATCTAATTTCTAAATGACTGCCAGACTTAGAATCAATGTAACATTGCAGCTTCCTTTTGAAATATTCTTCTCATGACCCAGAAGGATAATATGAAAGGAAGTATAATAAGGGGGGAAATTCCTATATTTTACTTGTTGGTTTTGCTAAATTAGTTTTAACTTTTGCCTCTTTTTATCTGCAAAATATAGAACATTCTTTTTCCTTTTTTGGCAGGGGGTACTGGGGATTGAACTCAGGGGTACTCAACCACTAAGCCATATTCCCAGTCCTATTTTGTATTTTATTAGAGACAAGGTCTTATTGATTTGCTTAGGACCTCACCATTGCCGAGGATGGCTTTGAACTTAAGATCCTCCTGCCTCAGCCTCCCAAGCCACTGGGATTATAGGTGTGTGTGCCACCGTGTCTGGTGGTTTGTTCCTTTTAAAAAGTTTTTAATCAGTATAGTCTCCTTGCAAAATTAGTTATCCATATGGTAAAAATCTATGTGACACAAGTTTTCAATACCATTTCCTTTTTCCACATCTCCAGAAGCAATCACTGTTGAATATTTGGTGTTTAATCTTTTAAATCTTTTATTATTAATATATAAGAGCCTAGAAAAAATAGAATGGTTGTGGATGAAATCTAGAAAATACAAATGGTTTCATACTGGTTTATATTTAGTTATTTTGTTTTGCTTTAATAATATATGTTGGAATTAGTTCCACATTAGTATACATAGATCTACATTAATTCATTTTTATACTGTTCATCCAAATCATAGTTTAATTAGTGTCTCTCTCTCTTTCTCTCTCATATTTAGTCTCCTTTGAAGATACTTAGATTGTTCACTCTATTATAAACAGTGCTGTAAAACATATTTCCTATAAGTGCCACATTATATATATGTATGAGCTTTTTCTCTAAGGTAGATTTTAAAAAGTGTCATGCATAATTTAAATATTAATGGTAGTGCTAAATTGCCCTCTAAAGTAGTTATACCAACTTATAGTTCCATCAGCAAGAAAAAATATTTATGAGCATTACCACCTCTTGGGATTATCAATCTTCTTTAATTTTTTCCTGATGGGTTAGTTTTTTCCTTAGATTTGATTTCCTTGAATACAAACAGAATGAACATCTTCTCATGTATTGACATCTTTCCCTTCTGTTGCTCACCAATTACTTTACTCACCATTCAACAGGGCAGTTTTTTGTTTTTGTTTGTTTTGAAGCAAATTCTTTACTGTACTACTCTTTTGATTAAAAATGGCAAAYGTTTTTTGAGTGTTTTAACTAATTTTAAATACTTTATCATAGGAAAATTATTCTTTAATGAAATCAAATGTGTCATTTTTTAAATGACTTCCACTTTTCATGTTATACTTAGCACTGTAACAAGCCCAAGGCCATTAAGATACTTTTCCATATTTACTTTTAATACTTTAAAACTCTGAATTATATTTGTCTTTTTAAACTATCCCAAATTTTGTAAGGTTATGTTCTATTCTCTCTTTTTTTTTCCCCAAATATAAACAGACAAAATTTTACTTTCTTTGAGTTTCACTTTACATAGGTATAAAACAGTGGTAATCCTAACTATCTCACAAAATTTCTTATTAAGATTAGAAGTCTTGGGCTGTGGCTCAGTAATAGAATGCTTGATTAGCACATGTGAGGCACTGGGCTTGTTTCTCAGCACCACACACAAAGGAAAGAAAAAAATAAAAATATGTGTCCATCTACAACTGAAATAATTTTTAAAAAAGATTAGAAAAAAATTATTTTTCTAAATTGCCTGGTACAGCCTTGCAAATAATAAATGTTCACCARTTGTTAGTTGGATATGAAAGTAAATTTAATATATGTAATTTGATATTTTTATTGAATATATATGAACTCATATATATTCATATAGTGTATATGAATACTTATATTGAATATATAAATAATTAATAACATGTTTAACTATATAATATTTAAAAACAACAACAAAAACAACAAAAATTTTGAGTGGATCACAAAAGCTATCATTCAGTCCATATTGGAGGTTCAGTTTTTATATAATAATTAGTAGGTTAGTCATGTGTAGAAACCACAGCTACCAGGTATATTGAATGTCCTTGGAGTCTGGAAGGTACAAAGTGATTTCAGTATTTACTGAATATTTACTATAAGTCGGGAAGTGTTTTAAGCACCATACAGTTAACCAATTCTCAATTACCCTTCAAAATGTCCTATGTGTTAGGTAATTTTACCACCATTTTTAAAATGAAGGAATTGAGGCACAAAGAGGTTGAGTAATTTTAGTGAAAGTGCATAGTAATTCAGTGATAGAACTAGCATATGAACCCAGGTAGTCTGTTTCAAAAGCCTGTACTTGGTCAGAAGGCTAAGCTGACTCAGTAAAATACCAAGAGTAAGTATTATATTTCCAAGCAGCAGAAGATTCCAAATTCAGAGAACTAGTTGTCTAAAGGTAAAGACAGCAAGATCAGTCTCACTTTAATGATCATAGTCATTCCACTCTTCCACTCCAATTGCAACTGGAGTAACTCTGACAGCTAAACAATAAATGCCTTGCCACATGAACAGCAAACACTAAGTGTCTACCATAGGCCCAAGTACCAGGAAACTTTATTGACCTATAGCAAGTACTCAAAAAATACTGAAGCCCCTCTGTACCTTCAGACTCTAAGAACATTCAATATATCTGGTAGCTGATGTCTAACCTGCTGATTGCTGCCTCCAAGTATATGCAATATAAATCACAGAATAAAGTAATCTAAGATGGCTGAGGACAAAAATGGAACAGGGCTAGTGAAAGAATACTTCTAAAAGGAAGTGAAGATTGAGCATAGCAGACAGAGAGAGGCATCTTTGAAAACAGAAAAAGCAAGGAGCATGGGAAAACCCACACTTCAAAACCAATATTGAATTCTATGATAAATAATAATTTTCAACTTCTAATGAATAAAATCTTCACAGGAAATGTCTTCCTTTGTAAAAGTGAACATGGAATAAAGGAGATGCACACAGAGAATGATATTTCAGCCTCACTGAAAACTTTTACAACATTAAACTCATTTGTAATTTGTCCTTAGTCAATACTCAAATATTAATACTACAATATATTGGGTCCTTCTCCCACTATGCTCATAATATTCTTCATAACAGGCACATGAGGAACATGTAGTAGTAACTCATTGTACCTAAACTATACTGGGGGAATCCAAGTATAGTTTAAAATAAAATAAAGGAATTCCTATAATACTTGGTTTTGCTAAGAATAGTGATGGCTTTGTTTATTATAGAGTCACAGAACTGGACAGAATTGTAAAGATTAACTAGTTCCATTCAAGATGATACTGAAATCAAAAGATTAAATAGTTTTTTCAAAATGACATGGTTACTCACAGTTGGCAGAACTTCCCATTCTTTCTTTAAGGAAGCTACATTGAAGGGATCTTTTAAAATCTGCTGTATTTGAGGCTTAATACTAACCACGTGTGATTTATTTAGCATGGGGATAGAAGAGCACATAATTTTCTATGTTGCCAAAGACTTTGGACATATAAGCATACTTACTTAGAAAGTCTTTCGATGGTTTGGATGTGTACGTTATTATGAGTTTGGGAAAGAACAGCTTCATGCTGAGCACACTTCAAACAAAGGCCACCAACATGGCTGGAAATATTAGCAGCAAGAAGAGACTCTTTATGTTTTAATCGCTCTCTAAGATCTTCACAGTTTTTCTGATATTCAGCTAAGTCTTTCCTAAAAACAAGGGGAAAAAATTCTAAGAAATATCCTGGAAGAAGTATTCTACTTTCAAGTCAGTCATCATTATGAATTACTACCATCATTATGGGTGTTTACCTTACAACTTTGCTTCACAACCCTGAAATGTAGGTCTGATTATCCTGATGCAGTGATTATTAGACTTGAATATATTAAGTAGCTCAAGTTCTTGTAAGATTTTAATACAGATTAGAGTATACCCTGTAATAGAATTTTACCTCCATTAACATATTGCCTACAAAACAAAAATAAAACTCCAAATATAAACCCTAAATAGTCTCTCTTAATAAAAGGTGGGATGACATGATACAATATCCTTGAAGTAAGGGAAATACCCTATTTTGGGTGTTAGGTTCATAAAATTTATAGAGAATACCTCAAAAGTTCAACAAATAATATGGATTTTATCCATAACTAACTTATTATTTATTATTTCCTCTTTAGGAGGAAAAAATAAAAGATTATCTAATCAGAAAGTTCTTCAAAGAGTTGTTTCAAAAGAAAGTGGGCCACAGAAAGAAATTACAGAGAACTTGCCAGTCAAGAATTCAAATGTAGTAGCTATTAGCTAGAAATATGCAGCTTGCTAAAGAAAGAGCTAGAGAATTGTGTGTGTGTGTGTGTGTGTGTGTGTGTGTGTGTG